CTGTTACTTGACTCTGGTTGGAGCCCATGCCGTTATCCAAGGTTACCAAGTGGCCCAAATTGTTAAAAAACCCAAACAGAAAAAAGGCCAAAGCCTACACTACTGTTGCGGGTGGCCCAAGTTGTTGTTACCAGGTGGCCCAAGATGCCAATACTATTGTTGCCGGTTGGCCCAAGTTGTTGTTACCAGGTGGCCCAAGCTGTTAAAAAATCCACTAAGAAAAAATTCAAATAGGAAGGACCCACCCCGCAAAATCCGAGGTTCTCGTGGATTTCCAAATATTTGAAGTACCTCTCTCTATAGTCCAGCAACAAACTCAAAAAAAAAAAACTACCTGCCCAACCCGATTCCAAATATTTGAAGTACCTCTCTCTATAGTCCAGCAACAAAACTCAAAAAAACAAAAAAAAAAAAAACTACCTGCCCAACCCGATTCTCACTCTCACTAAATAAATATATCTCAATCAAATAAGCCATGCTATTAAATGAATACAGCTCCATTGTTCAGGCCCCAATCCACCACCAGGAGACAGTTGCCGGTCTCCACCAGACAAATCCTCCGCACCAGATTTACCCCTAGCTTCCCTGCCTCCACCTCCATGTTTCCTGAATCCACCGTCCCCCTCGCCGTACTCGTCTTCGTTGCCATTTCCGTCTCCGTTTTGCTCTTACACGGAGCCGCTGATTCTCTGCGCTTCCAATCCTCCTCCTCTGGTTACTCCTTTAACATCTTCCCTTCTCTCCGCAACAGCAACAACAGCGATTCTAAATTATCAGTGAGTTTCTTTCCCTTGGCGCATTTTAGCACAGATCATATGATTGGTGGCGCACTTTAGCAAATTTATTTCTTTTAGTTTGCGCATTAATGGATGGATTATTAATGTCATCGTGTAGATTAATGATGATGGTGATGATGATTATAAGCTGGAGAAAGTATTGAAAGAAGCTGCGATGGAAGATAAGACAGTAATAATTGCTACATTAAATGAAGCATGGGCAGCTCCAAATACAATTGTCGATCTGTTCCTTGAAAGCTTTAGAATTGGGCAGGGTACGCGTAGGCTTTTGAATCATGTTGTGATTGTTGCGTTGGATCGAAAGGCATATAAGCGATGTATGGAATTTCATGCGCATTGCTTTGCTCTTATTACTCAAGGACTTGATTTTCATGATGAGGCTTATTTTATGACCCCGGCGTATTTGGAGATGATGTGGAGACGCATTGATTTCTTGCGCTCTGTTCTTCAGATGGGCTATAACTTTGTTTTCACGGTAATACTTATTTAATCCCTGTGTTGTTCTCATGTTCTGGGCTGTGATTTTTATTTACTTGTTCTCTTTGAGAATTGAGATGGATGATTGTTGAATTTTGTTTTATAGTTGCTGAAGTAAATTAATTCCGTCCTGAAATAGGTACATTCAATGCATAGTTAATTGGCGTTTGAATGGAAAATGTTTATGCAATGCTTGCGTAGAGAGTTCACTGAAAGTAATTTTAAGGTTTTTTCAGGAGGTAAATTAAAGGAAAGAATAAGATGGATTGGATGGTAGACTTGGTATCAAGTGATTTAATTTTAAATTATGTTTTTACTTTACTTTTTGAATGCAACATTTTTTTTATCCTTCAACTTGAAAAGGTTGATTTTTTTTTTTTAATTGTTTTGCTAAAACTCTTTAGCTAAGCTGATAAGATTTCAAGAGACTGGTGCTGTTAAGGATGCTGAAATGACACTAGTATGCAATTGTTTTGACCTTATTTTCAGCCAACGTATTTTTTGTACCCAGAAAAGTCTGTTGTTGTGTCTGCATTGGAATTTTTATTTGTCAGAATAGAATAGCATTCCCCGTAAAAGAATGCTGCTATTATTTTCTTCAGTTTAGGAGAGCAGATACTCATTTCTGTATGCATGTTTATGTCTCATCCTAATTCGGTCATCCTATTTTAAATCTTCCACCGCACATTCAATTCATTTGGTTGGTTTTCTCCAGGATGCTGATATTATGTGGTTCAGGGACCCCTTTCCACGGTTTTATTTGGATGCTGATTTCCAGATTGCATGTGATCATTTCTTGGGCAACTCTAGTGATATACAAAACAGACCCAATGGAGGTTTTAACTATGTAAAGTCCAACAACCGCACGATAGAATTTTACAAGTTCTGGTATTCTTCACGGGAGATCTATCCTGGATACCATGATCAGGATGTCCTTAATTTTATCAAATTTGATCCTTTCATTGAGGACCTTGGATTGAAGATGAGATTCTTGGACACTGCTTTCTTTGGGGGCCTTTGCGAACCTAGCAAGGATTTGAATTTAGTTTGTACAATGCATGCAAATTGCTGTTATGGTTTGGATAGCAAGCTTCATGATCTTAGAATTATGCTTCAGGATTGGAAAACTTTTTTATCTTTGCCACCAGCCTTGAAAAGATCATCGTCTATGCCGTGGAGGGTCCCCCAAAACTGCAGGTTAGGAAAACATCTGCACATTGTGTGTCTGAATTTGACCATTTAAAACCGTTTCCTTGATGGATTTAATTGTTTTGTTGATTAATCTCATACAGTCTTAATTCTCTCCGTCGATATGATTCTCTGGAAAAGAGTGATCAACAAAGTTTGCAACAATGAGCTGTGAATGACATGCTTTGAGGAACTCTTCCCTTTCACACGCAGCATGAGAAGGTAAGGTTTCTGGTTTAAATTCATCAATTGGTATCTTACATATTATTTTCCTCTGTTTGTATGTTATATTGCTAGCAATGAAGCATTGAAATAGCTGAAGGGAGTTGTAGAAGAGATACATCAAAGAGAGAGAAAGCAAACAGACCTTACCTAAATTTTGATAAATGACAACACTCTGGAGAATGTTTGAGGTTGATGGCATAATGTTCTAGAATTCCTGTCAAATTGGCATTCCGAAGCACAGATAGTGGGACTGTCATAACTGTCTTACCTGATATTTTTTGTACTCCTTTTCCAACTTTTCATCTAATAAACTAGTTTCAGAGGCACCAACTTATACATATCCATTTAATCCGCATAAGGTTGATATATACTTCAAATACATATCTAACAGATATCCAGTAAAGAAAAGTACATCTCTGAACTTTTCTAAAAGGATTATTGGTTCTCTCCCTAGTGAAGAATAGTCGGTTTTCATGGTAATGGTGTGCCTTTTGCTGTCACGTGTCAGTTAGAATTTCTCTCTAGTACTGACTGTACAGGGAGTTGGTACAATAATAATAATAAGTAGAGATCGGTACATGGTCACTATGTTTGTTTAAGCTCTCAACATTTTCTTTAAAGAATAGTCACTTGTTAGGAAACTTGACAGCATTTGGTTTTGCAACCTTATGCTAACTATTGTCTTTGTTGCATTGACAGACTTTTTGCTGGAGCTAAAATAAAATTCATGAAGTGAGAAAAACTTCTGATGTACTTGAACTGATCAATCCATAAGTTGTTTGAGTAGTTATAAAAATCTTCTGCTGAGATCTCATCTTCATTTGAACATTTGGTCCAAGGCAACCGATCTTGTTGTTTGTTATTTGTTATTTCTCCAGTAGATAGACCTAGGCATGTATAGAACATAGCTTTAATAATGTTTGGCTAGTCGTGATAATTAATTAGATGTATTTCCATGCAACTGCTACCATCAAGCTGTGTTTAATTTTGTTCTTAAGAGTTTTGGAAAACTTGATAGCTGACATTTTTGCTGGTCAACTGGATTTTTATACTGCTTAAATGGTTTGTAGGAATATGCTAGGCGGGCTGCCTCCTGAAGATCTGTGTTGAGGCCAAGTTCTTGCTTTTCTGTGTTGTATCTCTGCCCTACAATATGCACCAAGGAAAGAATGGTATGGGGTATGACAAGTTGGGTGGAATAGTTATTAGCTGTAATTTTGCAGGAATGGTTATTGAAATTGGAAAAAAAAAAGGTGAATGCATGCTCAGCTGGATGACGGGAGAAGATAAGTCTACACTGTCGCATTGGTTCTTCATGGATTGCGTCGTGAAACTTGGAAACGTAAGCATTTGGCCGTGACTAGAAGCTGGCCGCCAGGAGCTACAGGCAGTCGTCCAAAGAAGGTTGACTTGTTAATTTTTTCATGCAAAGGTTTTCAGAAGCTTATATCAGGCAAACAAAATTCTATGGAAAGAGAAGGAATTTAGTAAGTAGATTTTAATTTTATTGGGCAAACAAGGTTTCATGAAATTTCGCTAAAACTAGTGAAAATCTTTTTTTTTTTCCCCTTTCAAAAGACATGCAATATTTTCCGTGCTTACAAAATCTTTATGTTTATTTAAGCTTATAGTACCTTAAAAAATTAGTTAATTCATGTGTTTGATTATGTGTAACAAACCCGGTACTTGTTAAGGTTGATAATAATAGCAATTTTATTAACTTAAAAGAAATTGACTACAAAGATCTAAAAAAGATTAAAGATGGTTTTATTTGAGGTTGCTCAGGTTTCTTCCTATAGAAAGTCTAGGTTTTTATCATGATTTAAAAGATTCTAATTTGATAATTTTAAATTTAAACAGGAGTAAATTAAGGTTACGATTGTTCTCATGTTAAACCATCGGGTGTATTTCATAAAGAAACAAAAAAAAAAAATTAAGTATCGCAATTGGATTGTGACTTGTGTTTTTAAACCCTAAGCGATAGTCCAAGGAGGTTTTGTCCAAGAGAATTTATCCCCTGGATAAATAAACAAGAAACCACCACCTAGATGAATCCCTCCACCGCAGCCATCCTCATCCCCCATCACCAACATTCAGGCAAGAGACATACCCTGAACCTACTCGCTCGGAAGATAATCCAATATTTAGCCAACGTTTCTCGAATAAAATCCCCAATTCTCTCTCCATCCAAGGTTTCATCTAACTACATGCGGCTGATTAGGTGAACATCCAGAGACTTCAAGAATTCGCCGACTCCCTAGAAATTTCAGCAGAAATCATACGAAACCAACCCCGCCAGCCAGCACCATAACAAGAAGAATAATTTCTGCTTGCTTTATAAGAAGTCAGCTGTCTTCTTAAGATGAATATATAACTAACCATTCTACAAGATGTTCATTGTTTTCGAATTTATCAATATGGCTCGTACAAGATCATTGTTTTCGAATTTATCAATATGGCTATTGGAAAAACAAAATCAATGCACAGCTGCTTTACAAACTACACCTTCTAGTGAACATGCCGCTGGGGAGGGACGTTGAAGAACACCACTGGATAGCTGAGTTTCTGTAGCAAGGTTCTGGAAATAACTTCCAAACATATCGAATACCTTCTAAACCTAGTGAAACAGATAACGGCTTTACATGCAAGTCTAAAAAATAAATCAACGGGAAGTATAACTCAAATTATAAGAGTACATCATCATCTTTATCCACCACCATTACTGGAGTCCAATTGCTCACGGCTTACAAGAACACCCTCATCCCACGTCTCAACATACCTGTGCACATAGAGAATTTGTATTGATTTATATACCAAAGATTTGGGGGCATGCAAGTCAAAAGTACGAATTATGACCAAAAAAAAATCTGATACCAAAAGTTTTCATTTAAGTCATAGTTACTAAGTGGAAACTTATCGGTAATTTCATGATACTGACAATGAGCTGCCCAAATGATACTAAGGTTATCATAAAGAAGTGCTCCACTTGAGCTCGTGGCAGATGAAGATAGTTGAATCAGCATGAATTTTCCAGACTTCATAGATTGCATTTATACATGTAAATCTCGTGTAAATATGTAGATGTGATGTTTATTAATACAATACCAAAGTTCATTGTATAACAATAAGATTATGTCAGGAAATGAGAACAAATTTTTGAATGATTATTTTGCATAACATGCCATATCAATTTTGTTGAAAACTGGCTGAAATTAAATAGTGTTCCATAGTGAATTGAGTACAGACCTTGCTCCATCAACATCAATACAAAGGAAGCGGCCATGTCGCCATCCATCTTGGAAATGACCAAAAAATACATCACCAAACTTTGAATAGAAGCGACTTTCACCATTGGCCTTTCCCTTCCAAAAGTTTGCAAACCATCGATCCCCAGTATGAAAATAAAACCAGCCCTACACAACCAAGACATGCAAAGCAACACTCAAAAACAAAGTTTGAAATGCAATTATTTCCATACCGACAATGTAGGATGCAGTGGCATAGAGAAAAATGCTGTACATTTAGGTTGGTCTTGATTGAAATTATTAAAGCATAATTTTTTTTTGTGGGGACATGAATGAGGAGAGGATATAGTGCATAGGCCCTTGCCATCCTCAATAATGGAAGGTGCAGCAGCAATTCAGAAGGTAGGGCCCTGGATGTAGAGCAAGGAAAATGCAATGCATATATGCTGGTCTTGGTTGAATTTATAGAAGCATTTTTTCTTTCGTGGGGACAAAAATGAGAAGAGGATATAGTGCATAGAACCTTGCCATCCCCATACCACCACTCCCACTAGCACAAACCCACCACGCACAGGCACGTGTTGTGGATGTATTTTGGATATTGCCTCTTACTAAAGATTCCCAGTGCAGTCGGAACGTGTACCAAAAATCAGCACCTCTTAGGACTATGCTGAACCTATATATGTATATTTTAATCTTCAAAGTGCTTCCAAATGGTGGTTAATGTTATAGAGCCATCCAAGATTAGAGATTTTAGTGTTAGAAATAACCAAGATATTGCCTTAATGCAGTCACTAAGAATCAATTCTATCTAAATTTGGCACAAAACACAGAGCCCCATAATGCTAGAGAATGATGAAGTTGGTCAAAAAGATTCTCTTATTTTGAAGGTCATTGGTCAGTTAGAAAGTGGAGGAAGAGGTGAGACACATGGAGACCAACCTTGCCATGCATTACATCATCCCTCCATGATCCCTGGAATACATCCCCATTGCTGAAGTAGAATGTACCTGGGCCTGATCTCTTACCATAGCGCCACATGCCATCATACATGCTTCTATCCTGAAGGATCAGACGGCCCTGCATAATAACTTATTCAAGTGGGTTCTGGTTTCTTCTACTACAGATGAAACAAATATCACAAGAAATTGAACTTTCTGAACATTCTAGGGCTATAGCAAAGTACCTTCCCTTCTGGCAGACCTCCTTGGCACCGGCCCCTGTAGACGCCTCCCCTGTACTGCATTTCCATAATAGGACTCCACTTCTTTGGTGAATCTCGCTCAGCTTCCTGTGTGAAAATCAGAATCAGAACAGAAATAGATCGGTTAATCTCAATGATATAGAGGAAAGTTTATTGATTACCAAAAAGAAAAAAGAAAAGCTAAAGTATTTCAGGTTCATGGTTGCCTGTAAATATCTGAGTGAAATTATGGTTTCTTTGTCAAAAATTACAGTAATTCAAATAAAGGAGTTCCAGATTCAGAAAAAAATAAAAACAAAATGCATGACCATTGAACTGTTTTTATTTCTTCAGAAAAATTGGTTTATAAGGAACTGGTGTTTCACTATCTTTCACTCCATGGTGATGTTACCAAACATGGTTTGAATGTCAGATAACCATTTCGAAGAAGACCCACTACTAACCAACTCCATTTAAACAGATTAAATGCAACAACAATAAATTGGTAGAATTAGCAGAAAATATTGGAGTATTAGATTTTCATGGTTCTCTCTTTTATGCACAGATAATAACCACACATTCCAATTTATAACTAGCAAATTTAGATAACAAGTCTGACATGAAAATGGACAGAATTTTCCGTTTAAAATTAAAAGCTGCTCAGATTATTATACTAAAGTTCTAGCACGTGCAACTTTCTTCCAGAAACAGGATTATTCCAACAATTAGCCAACAGAAACAGAATGTCTAGCTTCAAAAAAATAGCTTTTCAGATTAGAACCCAAAACTAGACTTGCATTTGTGGATCTGTTTTCATGAGATGGAAATTACCAGCATAGATGCAGCACGAGCAGAAAGAATTCCTTGCTTTTTAAGCACATCAGGATTTTTACCCTTTAACAGTGTGGATGCATTATTATAAAAATCCCTCACTGCTACAAAACCTGCATCACCCCAAGAAGGGATATTTGAATTAACAAGTGTCTGTCCTTGGAAATCATCCTCGGTTTTTGGTTCTGAGAGTTCTGTGGCATATGAGATGTTCAGACTGCCTTTCGACTCTTCTGAAGGTCTTACACCAACTGGAAGTTGGAAGATGCTCATGTCATCAAGCACTGGAGTGGCTCCAGCCCTTTCTTTGGCCCACTCCTGTGCAATCTGATAGCCTGGCCCCATATTCCTACTAATGAGTGGTTCCCTTTGGAAAGCAGGAGTTTCTACACGTATGTAAACATGGTGTCAAACAAAGAAATTTAAGACCTCAAAATAGATTAATCCAAGGTGCTTTAACCAATTGAAATTTGTGTAGTCAGTAGGGACTGAAATACAACAAGGAACTTTTTGGTGCAACCTTCCATGTTTTGATTGTAAAAATTTGAAGACTCTATCATATCTTCTTCTAATAGGCCAACCCCATCTTCTTCAACTCCATTGTTGTAATTCCTAAAAGACCAAAAAGCAAAAATATTAGAAACAATGATGGACTGTGTGAAAGAGATCTCAATATAAACCAATGCTCAACAGCACCTTGAACTATAAATGTCAACATAATCACTGCCTGATACCCTCTCGGAGTCCTTGGAGTGCTTGTCAACACCATTGACTAAACCTTCTGCAGAACTTATATTTTCCACCAAACCAGAGTCTGGTGAATCTATCCCCTTCGATAGCTGTGCATCTTCCATATCTCTTCCTTCGTTGCCACAAGGTTTTTGGTGGGATATCCTCAGAAGTTTAAAAACAAAAGGGAAATGCTGGGCCAGTTTGGAGAATATGCTACTTTTCTGAGGAGCCTGCTGCTCAATACAGCTGGTAATCACATAAAATTTAAATTAAAAATTGAGAAGAAAATGCATAACCCTAAATATAAACAAAACCATCACAATTAGCAATGGTAAGCTGAACATTTACATAGGAATAAGGGGGTAGGGGAAGACTGAAGATAAAACCAAACAAAGAAACCACCAAATTTAAATGAAATACCACACAGCTCTAGGCAATAAAAGAGGTAACTAGAACTACAACAATCATAACTAATGTGATGCAAAGTAGCTTCCTTACATTTTCATTATTTCCAGAAGAACGGTTATCACTGGAAAAGGCTTTTATAGATTTTCTCAACATCGAGAGACTGTTATATATTCCATAATCAAATGTCAAGGCAAAAGGGGAGCAAACACTAGTTCGTGGCCTAAACTAACTCAACTCAAGAATGATTGGTGATATTCCAAAATCTATGGTGACAGAACAGCATTTTAAGGGATACCAACTTCAACCATTGCACAAGGAATTGAGAATCAAGATTTAATCAATTCAAGTTTTTATATGCAGAGCAAGGATTCTTACCCTACAATAACAACTGTTGTTACCAGCATGTTGGGCTCCAGATTAGGCTCATGAGCTGTACAAATAATGATTTCCCCCGTGTAATTTGCTGTTCGTCGGAAAGTAAGCAGAGAGGCATGTACATCTTTGTCGTCCATAAGAACTGAACTTGCAATGATGCATATAACAATTCCATTTAATTCCTATGCACAACAAACAACCAAAGAATGGAAAAATATGAAAGAGAATGCATATGCATCGAGAAAAATGGCTATCCAGTCTTCATATGTAAAGCAAGATAGTTATCTAAAAATATCTATCATTGCATAAGGCAGAAAAGAAGAAGCCATGTCTAGGATACAAGTGCAATCAACACTTGTTGAAACAGTTAAAGGCAAAACTTTTGCAAGTTCTCCACTCAAATTTGTTTTAATTATACCTTAACACCAGCACCAATGAAAGGGCAATCATATAGAGCCTTTATAATTGAATTTCTAATGCTGTTACCGGTGCCAAATCCAATTTTTGCTTCTTTGTAGCTCTCCAGTATCTGTACATGGTTGGATTAGCTTCAGAAGATAAAGCAGAAAAATAAGGCAGAAAAGAAAACAGACAAATAACAATCTATGAATGAGAAAATTTGTTTAAATCTTGAGTAAAAAACCTAAATAAAAAACAAAACAAAACAAAACAAGAAAGACAAGAACAATGAAAAAGCATGAATAACTTGCACAAATGGGGATAGACACAGAGACTTACTTTTATAACTTCTGAAACTTTGAGTTCTTTCACATTATTATGCACTGCATCAATTATTTTCTGGTGCATCTCCTGAAAACGTACCAGTAATAACCAAATTAGAGGAACCATGGCATGAATATTGATTGTCGTAGAGAAAGGACAGAACACATGCTAACCGAGATAAGAATAGAGATGGCATTTATGGCCAATAAAACAGCACTGTTTGCAGACTTCAAGGCCTCATCTAGAGTGACCAAGTCCTTTTTTAGGAGTGCATCAGTGTCAATATCTGTAATTACAAAAAACAACATATAAAGCTTATCAGGCTTACCAGTCTCCTAGCAGCCCCAGTTGTATGGATGATGGTCTTCTTTTTATATTGAGCAAAAAACATGAGTTAAATATGACTTAGTCCCTATAGTTTAATCCAACTAATTAATTAGTCCTTATGGTTTTAGAAACTATTTATTCAATCCCTTTAGTTTTAAATTCGTTTATAACTTAAAGCTTTCATTTACAGACATACAAAGATAATCCAGGCCTAAAGGGGAAAAAAGAGTGAATTCCCAGAAATTGCTTTGGCCACCAGCAAATAACCTGCTATTTTACTAATGAAACGGTGGCAAATGTGCCAAAGAAAACTAAAAATAGAGGTCTTACTTAATAAACAAAGACTTCTAGCTGGTTTTGTGTAAAAAGATGAGTTATTATCGAAGGATATACCGCATTGCTTACCAATACAGAAATTTGTATACTCTTGAAGCTTTCCTACCAAATCTTTCACCTGTGAAAAGATAGACAATCACAACGCTGAGGCAAATACTTGATTAGAAGGCCAAATCACAAAATTGTTGTTCAGACACACTACACGTGAAAAGGGTATAATCTCAATAATTATGGAAAATTCTTATTGATGATATGCATTAGACAGTGGAGAATGGAACAAATAATTAAAATATCCAACTCCAACAAATTTGCAAGGCTTAGTTAGGTAGAATCTATAGCCAAGAAGTTGGAGCTTTCTACCTCCTAAATCCCATGAACTGAGTCAGAAACTGAATAATAAAATTCCTAAAATTAAATACTCAAATAATAATCCTTCATGTGTTTCTTTGTCAACAAGAGAAAGAGTCTCCTAATTGATATAATTAAAGGTTCTTTATCAACAACAGAAAGAGTCTCCTAATTGATATAATTAAACTCCCATGTCTGAAGTGCAATGGAAAAGGAAATCTTCCTCTCCCAAAGGACAGTGAAAGAAAACAAAAGGAGGTTTCAGATGTCTGTGTCAACAAACATCCAACAAATTTCTGGCCTACCCAGCATAAGACAGTTCTTTGAAATCACCTACGCAAATTAATACTATTTCAGAAAAATGACATTTTCAGCCTGTTATCTCCTGTAGTTAATTAGTCAGTTAACATGACAAAATGAGCAATGACTGTTATCACCACAATCAGAAAAAATATACCACAATATAAAGTATTGCATGCAACTTAAAATAATGAACATGAGACTTTCACTGTCAGATGGAGAGGTTGTTGGCTAGCTTCCAAGTTTTCCGACCATATTTTAATGCACATATGAATAGATACAACTGCAAAGAACATCTTCCAGTAGATTATCATTGATGAATATATATTTTTTTACAGTAAAAAAGCATCTGGCATCAACAGTTGCCAAATACTATACCTCATCTTGGCGCCTTTGTCCTTCAAAACTGAAAGGCTTTAGAAAAATAGCGACAGTAAATCCATTCCTAAACCTCCTTGTTTTAAGAATATCAATTGCTGTAATATGTTCCAAGCCATATCCTGCACTAGCCACCTAGAGGGGAAAAAAACCATAGCATTGTAAGATTTCTAGTTGAGAATGAGGAAGCAAGTAGCATGATATAATTTTTTATGGTTTCTGTTTATTCATTAAAATCGGATCCTACAGCTAAGTTTTCTTCACAGACCCAGTTATTTGCAAAAAAAGTGTTGGAATTATAATGGCATACGTTAAAGAGATATGCAGAGGTATTAAGAATTGAAAAGGGAAAGGTGAGAATTGAAAGATTATATTTCAGAAGATACACTTTCTTAACAAAATCCATTTGGGCAAGCTAGAAATTTCTCAGTTCACATGCTTATATTTTCTGACTGCATCTCGTATTTGATGCACTAAAATTGTTTCCCCTGCTCATCAGTGTTGCACATATACTCCAATTGAACAGACAAGATTTCTAAAGTTGGGGTCTTTGAATCTTCTCTTATTTCTGCAGGCAGCATGAAGCATTTACGAGAATGACGCCAGATAGTCAATATGACAAGTATTCTGATAACATCAATAATGCTTGTTGTGGTTGATAGATGTGTAAGTCGATAGAGTATTAGATACTCCCTATGCATTGGTAGTTATCAAGGTAACTGCCCTCCATTGTAGCTATCAAGGCAGTTCCTCTTTTTGTTGTGAGAGGAGGAACAGTACACAGAGCTGAGGGTACTAAATAATTTCACATGCCAGTCTACCTTCATAAGTATACTCATTTAGTTTTAGCAGATAACAATTTAATTAGAATAACAGCAGCCCAAAATATAAGAGAGTGATAGTCAAGGAATGTACAAACAAGGACAATGGCCTTTGAAGGGAACTTTAGAAATTGCGAAACTTCCATAACCCTTGGATTAACATCTGCAAACATTAATAAAAGAAGAACAAAAAATTGAGTTATTGCTAAAAAACAAAAAGATTGGTACCTAACCTAAGCAAATTAGAAACGCAAACCTTTTTCAAGAACCCTTTCTTGCAACTGAACATTCACGGAATCTTTGGTCTGAATATTCCTGCCAGAAAAAGAAAAGCAAAAACAAATTAAGGAATTGCAAGAGGATCTATGATAAAATAAAGTAAAAAAGAAATAAAGAAAGAATTGCGGTGATACCAAAATCGGAGGAGCGAAGACGATAACTGTAAAGGCGAGTCGAAACAGAAATCAACAACGGCGTCCTTCCTGCTGCCAATGCTTATTACATCAACTAAATCGCCGGATTGTCCTCCCCCGCAAAAATTAACAGCGTCGCTTTTAAAACTCAATGAACCATCATCATCATCCTTCTCTGAGCTCACTTTAATTCGAAGACGACAACGTCTTTTGCAATTCAATCTCTTACGAAAGAAGCTGCAGCGATCCATGTAAAAGGCGGTTTTGGAGGAGAGAGAAACGGAGTGAAAGCTCGTCAATACAGGAACCTCCATTTTTATTTTATTTTTGGAGAATTTGTTACATTTATTTATTTAAATAAGCGAGGGAGGGTTTAGAAAATGAGGACGGAATAGAATCAGAGATATCTGTATGTTATCCACCCCCCAACTATCAACTCAGCTGAACTGCGTGAAACAAACAGGGGAGGGGAGGGGAGGGGAGGGGAGGGCGGGGAGAAGCGTTAAAACGATCCAAGGGTGGATGCCTCCAAAAACCCTATTTTAAACTCTTATCTGAATTTCCGTTCTTGGCTGCCAACTCTCTCTTCTTCTGCTAGAAATATACTGGCAGGAATCAAATTAACCCGGTTAAAAATTCATCTCTTAAAAAACAAGAATTCAATTTTATAAGTAACAATACAAATCATAAGCCACCTTAGGTATCCATTTACATGAAAAAATCATGTCGCCATTGTTATGAAAGATAAATTGTTCGGTCCGGAGACGAATAATTTCTCGTTCTCTCTTCTTATGCATTGAATTTGATGGTGTGGTTTTTTGGTGCATTGATGAATTTTGATTTTAAACATTATTTGCTAGAAAATGAGGACGGTTCCATTTTATTTTATTTCATTCTGTTGCTCTTCTTTTTTTCATTTTTTTAGGATGTTTCGCTAATAAATTGGTTTATAACGATTTTAGTGAGGTTTAAGAGGTGATTAGTAGTGTAGTAATTATTGTTTTAAATTTTTAAAATAAATACATATTAAAATAATATTTTTTTTAATATTAATAAATAATCTAAAAAATTAAAAAAATGTTTTTAAAAATAAAAAAATATTTTTTTACAAATCTATATTTACTCTAACTTTGCTAAATGTGTTTATGAATGAAAATAGATTTTCAATTCAAAATACTACACTAGCTGTAATTGTGATGCTTGAATTTTGTATTTTTAAAATGTTTTGAAAAAAAATTTAAAAATTATTTTTTTATTTATTTTAAATTACCTGTGAATTTTTTTTTTTCCAAAAACAAAAGGTATCTTTAAAATTATTTTGATATATTAATATCAAAAATAATTTTTTTTTAAAAAAATATTAATATATATTTTAACATAAAAAATTATTAAAAAAACAATCATAATTATATTACCCAATAAGCTTTAAACACAACAAGTGACCCCTGTGATTTTTTTTTTTTCCAAAAACAAAAGGTATCTGTTAAAATAAAATTTCACTTGTTTATTATACTGTGTACTAATGATTGGAATATATATATATATATATATATATAAGAATAGAGGGGAAGACCAAATGAATAAATAAACATAAAAGTATATATTTTCATCATTATAAGTTTCATAATACATGTATTGATTAAAATAATTAGATAAACAACTATCCGTTAATTAATACCAATTAAAAAAATATTCAAGTACTTCATGGTTTATCCAATATTGATTTCTCACTCTTTTCAATTCTCCAACTATGTAGAAATGTCTATTTATCTACCATAATATATATTCATCGGCCCTAGTGATTGATTTCTTGATTGTGACCTCAATTAATTTCATTGACTCGTCCTTCAAGCTCGACCAATCTCATCACTGGACATATCAATGTTTTGGCTTCGATAAGATAAATATTTCAACCTGAAATTCCTCTGAACCAATAACCAATAACAAAAATAAATTAAATTAGGTGTTGTTTTGATTGATGAAGCAATTATTTTTTAAAATAATTTTTATTTATAAATATATTAAAATAATATATTTTTATTTATAAAATTTTATTTTTGATATTAACATATCAAAATAATATAAAAAATATAAAAATATATTTTTTAAAATAATTTTACCTAATTTATGTTTTGAGGATATACTTATAATTATTTTTTAGAATATTTTTATCTAAAAATACATCAAAATAATATATTTTATTTTTAAAAAAATATTTTTAATATTGATACATCAAAAAAAAATTTAAAAAAATTTAAAAAATATTATTTAAAAAAAATTAAAGCAACGCGGCCCAGTAACTTCCTTAGACGCAGCGGGA